CTGGTCCTGGTTTTAGTCCTGATCCTGATCCTCGTCCTGGTTCTGGTCCTGGTTTTAGTCCTGATCCTGATCCTGGTTTTAGTCCTGATCCTGATCCTGATCCAAGTCCCTGTCCTGGTTCTGGTCCTGGTTTTAGTCCTGATCCTGGTCCTGGTTTTAGTCCTGATCCTGATCCTGATCCAAGTCCCTGTCCTGGTTCTGGTCCAGATCCTGGTCCTGGCTTTAGTTCTGATCCAGATCCTGGTCCTGGTTTTAGTCCTGATCCTGGTCCTGGTCCTGGTCCTGATCCTGATCCCGGTCCTGGCTTTAGTCCTGATCCTGATCCTGGTTTTAGTCCTGATCCTGGTCCTGGTCCTGGTTCTGGTCCTGATCCTAATCCTGGTTTTAGTCCTGATCTCCCAGTCCCTCCCAGTTCCCTCCCAGTCCCTCCCAGTCCCTCCCAGTTCCCTCCCAGTCCCCTCCCAGTCCCTCCCAGTCCATCCCAGTATCCCCAAATCCCCATTTTCCCATCAATTTTACCCCCAAAATTCCAATTTTTTCTCAACTTTTCCCCAATTTTCTCCACTTTTCCCCCATTTTTCTTCTCAAATCCCTCTCCCAGTCCCTCCCAGTCCCTCCCAGTATTCCCAGTTCCATCCCAGTCCATCCCGGTTCCCCCAAGTCCCTCTCGCGGCCGCTCCCAGCCCAGCCCTGCCTGGCAACGAGTGACGCGCGCCCGCCTCGCGCTCCCATTGGCTGGCCCAAAATGTCCCCAAACGTCCCCACCCTGGAGGGGGCCACCCCAAAGCACCTCCCAGTCCCTCCCAGTTCGGCCCAGTTTGTCCCAGTTCGTCCCAGTTCGGCCCAGTTCGTCCCAGTTCGTCCCAGTTCATCCCAGTGTATGAATGACGCAGTAAATTAATTAATGGCAATGTCATCATCCTTGGGGACACGGGGACTTGGGGACACCCCCAGGAGGCTGGGGACACCCCCGGGGGACTGGGGACACCCCAAAGTGGCCGTGCCCCCGCCTCCCAGTTCGCCCCAGTTCGCCCCAGTTCGTCCCAGTTCATCCCAGTTCGTCCCAGTGTATGAATGACGCAGTAAATTAATTAACAGTGGTGTCATCATCCTTGGGGACACGGGGGCTTGGGGACACCCCCGGGCTTGGGGACACCCCCGGGGGCTTGGGGACACCCCAAACTGGCCGTGCCCCCCCTCCCAGTTCATCCCAGTGCATAAACGACGCTGTAAATTAATTAACGGTGGTGTCATCATCCTTGGGGACACGGGGACTTGGGGACACCCCCAGGCTTGGGGACACCCCCGGGAGGCTGGGGACACCCCCGGGGGGCTGGGGACACCCCAAACTGGCCGTGCCCCCCTCCCAGTTCATCCCAGTTCATCCCAGTTCATCCCAGTGCATAAACGACGCTGTAAATTAATTAATGATGGTGGCGTCCTTGGGGACATGGGAACTTGGGGACTCGGGGACTTGGGGACACTGGGGCTTGGGGACATGAGGATTTGGGGACTTGGGGACACTGGAATTGGGGACACGAGGGCTTGGGGACACAAAGTGTGGGGACACGGACACTTGAGGACTTGGGGACACGAGGACTTGGGGAC